TAATATGAGTATTACATTAGGCATATTTAGATTAAGTATTTTACCAGGAACAACACTGAATATTGGCAGCACCAGGACAAAGACCTGCTTGAGAAGTGCCACCTTTTGCAGCACATTCATTCACATCTATACAAGCATCCGTCGACCAGCATGTTGCACAGAAAACTGTATGTAGGTTGAAAATGGAGAAACAAATTACAATTGTCAAAAACTCGTTGATAACAATCATGTATGTATAAGCACGGATACTACTAAAGAACAATAAATAAATATGATGCTCAAGTCTCTAACTATCTCAAAAGAAACGATCCAAATACTAAGTATGGCAATGAAGACAGCTCGAATAAAAAGCTGTTAGCGCAATCTCTGCGGGATTAAAATATGAAACACGATATCGCTCCTGTTACTAATCACCAGAATATTGTTTTATTCAATCTATCTGCAAACTCATTTTTCATCAAGTTTTACTTAATGCTGTAGAATAGCAAAAAGGAAGCAATTTATATACTTTCGTGAAAGTTTAGTGATATATAATCGGTAATAGTGCATCAGAAACGTCTGCAACTCGTTTTAACACATTCACTCCGATTCAAATTTCATAGAAACTAACATCTTTAAATGCGTTTTATTAGAAAACAAAATATACCACAAGATGCAGCATGAAAAGCTCTACAATCTACATCATAAAACTTATTTCAATTGTGTACTTTTTGTTTTCAAAATAAACTAAAATTGTGTGTTACCAATGTTTGAGGTTGCGTAAATTGATTGCACAGAATTTTGTTTTTTTCGAAAACAAAAAATAAACTTTACGATGTAGATTGTAGAGCGTTTCACACTGCATCTTGTGCTATATTTTGTTTTTTCTTACGAAATAATATTAGGTGATAAAAAGATGAAACAAGAAAAATGAAATTTCACATTTGTGCAAAAAAAATGATCGTTTCGCAACTTCGAAAACTAGTTATACAGAGTTTGACTTTCTTCGAAAACAAAAATTACACAATTAAAATAAGCTTTACTATGGAGATTGTAGAGCTTTTCACGCTGAATCTTATGGTATATGTTGCTTTTTTAATAAAACGTATTTAGAGATTAGAATATCAAATGCAAAGTGGGGTCCACCGGTGGACCCCATCGGGTCGAATGTGTTAAGGGTGTCTGTCACGGTTAGTGATAGTCGCGGAGACTCATCTATCATGATTTGTGACGACCCAAGCAGACAGACATATCGATTTTTCACGTTTTTTGAACAAAAGTAGCAACTTTTAGTCAAATTTTATGCGTTTTTTTCGCTTATGTCAAAAAACGCACAAAAAATCGTATTTTTGTCGATTTTTTCGACATTTCCTTTTTTTTCCACTTTTTTCTACTCCTTTTTCAGCCAAATTTCGTCAAATTTATGTATAAAAGTGGTTGAAACGTTATTTCTAACGAAAAACGCCCATTGTATCTCAAAAATTTGAACTTTTGAGTGTAAATGAGATACTTTTTTTT